CTCGTATGGTAAAGGAAGAGAAGAAATCTGGAAATCCTGTGGCTGGCCTAATCAACCAGCTGAACCTTGAAAGGAATTGCATGACATTGCTACTGAGCAACAATCTTGATGAAATGGATGATGATGAAAAGACACTCCCAGCGGATAAGGTACTATTTCAGTTTAAATTTAGATTTCCCTTGCAATGCTTATTTATGCTTTTATTAATTTCGATGCACATATTGATCTGCTTCTGAAGTAATCTGCATATGTTAACTGATTTTGCCGAATATTGGTAATTTTCAGTAGCTCTTGCAGCATATATTTGTAAGTTAGTTGAAGTCTTAGATATTGTGAACTCTGATGTTTTTATTGTCTTTTTCATAAATACCTTCATCCTCAACATTAATTTTCCTTCCTATGTGGGGGTTCTCTTCATCTACATAAAATCATGTATGTATTAACAGGAAATGATTTAACACACACAAATTGCACCCTAATTATCTGGTTGCTATTGCTGTTTCTCACTTTGAAAAGGTTGAAGTTGATTTGGCACTTTCAGCTCATGCCAATGCTCGACGATGGTACGGGATGAAGAAAAAACAAGAGAGCAAGCAGGAGAAGACTATTGTAGCTCATGAGAAGGCTTTTAAAGCAGCTGAGACAAAGACTCGTCTTCAGCTTTCACAGGTAGCTGTAACTGTTATTATTCCTGTGGTCAGCTTGACACACAACTCAAGCTTTATTGGTTGAGAATATAATTAAATATATATATATATATATATATTAAAAGGATATGGGGTTTTGGTTCTGCTCCAACTCTGACAAACTTCAAATTGGCTCCGTGGTTGTGATTGAGATCATTATTTAATTGTCCCTTGTTTAGCTTGCTGAGTGAATCATTAATGAATTGCAGGAAAAAACTGTTGCAACAATTACACACATGCGCAAAGTTCATTGGTTTGAGAAATTTAATTGGTTCATCAGCAGTGAAAATTATTTAGTTATTAGTGAACGTGATGCTCAACAGAATGAGATGATTGTCAAGAGATACATGTCAAAAGGGGATCTGTAAGTATTTTTTTAATGGTTTACTTTTGTTCACTCTTTACTTCCAAGCTATTGCATTTTGAATTTCTCATGGATGTTCTTCATCTGAATTTCTATGCAATAGAGTTCACCATGGAAATCAATACTATAGTTTGGATTGGGGAAGAATTTCATTTAAAGTAATTCAAGTGGAGGACATGAGTTGAGGAAGAGTTTTTCACTGAAATATGCGTTTTTTGCTTTTTCTTTATTGAGGCATAACAATTATTTGATTGTTTCAGTATTTCTCTAGTTACTAGTTTAAAAACATGGTTTATAATATTATCTTGATAGTCACTTGCTTAATGAAACAGGTACGTTCATGCGGATTTGCATGGGGCTTCGAGTACAGTAATCAAGAATCACAGGCCGGAGTGGCCAGTACCACCTCTCACGTTAAACCAAGCCGGATGTTTCACCGTAAATAATCTTCCTGTCCCCTTAGTTAATACTCTTTATTTTCCAGGAAGAACAAAGTACAATACAAGCAGCTCATATTTCGTTTTCTTTTTCATGAAATAGGTTTGTCATAGCCAGGCATGGGATTCAAAGATTGTTACCAGTGCTTGGTGGGTTTATCCCCAATAGGTTAGTAAAACTGCTCCTACAGGGGAATATGTTACTGTCGGGAGTTTCATGATACGTGGGAAGAAGAATTTTCTTCCTCCACATCCTCTTATAATGGGATTCGGATTATTGTTTCGCTTGGATGAGAGTTCGTTGGGATCACATTTAAATGAAAGGAGGGTGAGGGGTGAGGAGGAAGGAGTAAATGATGTTGAAGAGAGTGGTCCTCCCATAGAAAATTCTGAGTCAGAATCAGAGAAAGGTGGTGAAGCAACTGATGTGCCCGAAGTAGCAGCTGAGAACGGTACTGGTTCTAATGATGTTGATAATGCAACCGTATCTGACCTTGTAGACAGTGGTGTTGCTTCTGTAAGTCCCCAACTTGAGGAGCTCCTTGACCACGCCCTAGTTCTTGGATCTACTAATCTCTCAAGTAAACCTCCTGTTCTGGAAACATCCCAAAATAATTTGGCCGAAAAAGATAACCATGAGAAGAATGCTACAATTAAGGAGAAGCCCCATATTTCAAAAGCCAAAAGAAGAAAAGAAAACTCAAGAAAGGAACAGGCAGTACTGCTGCCAATGCTAACACAAAGAAGGGCAATGAGAAGACAAAAGAGAATGTTAATGCTGTTAATGTAACTGGAAATAACTCGAAACCAGGTGGTGGAAAAATAAGCCGTGGGCAGAGAGGCAAACTCAAGAAAATAAAGGAGAAATATGCTGACCAGGATGAGGAAGAGAGGAGCATTCGCATGGCGTTGCTGGCTGTGAGTACCCCAAATTGATAATTTTTTACACACTTAAAAAAATATCTATAAATGTTGTGGACTTCTCTCTGTGTGTGGGGTCTCTTGCCTCGCCGAAGATTTTGTGAACTGCAGTCTTCGGGGAAAGCTAACAAAAATGAAGGGTCCGATGATGGGAAAACTACTACCAGCAATAACCAGAAAGCCAACCCTAGTGGTATGCTCTTTCCAGAAGTATTGATACCAAATTAGATTTTCTTGAGTCTAGCAATTTGAAGTAGAGAATCCTGTTATGGAGCATAAAAAACCTGTTGATTTTAAAATTTTCAGGCCCTCAAGATACCCCTAAAACATGTTATAAATGTAAAAAGGTAGGCCACCTTTCCGGGGATTGTCCTGAACATCCTGATGCCACTTCGCATCAAGCAACTGGAGTTGAAGATGATCGTTCAGGTTTGGATGATACGAATGACTTGGACCGAGTGGCCATGGAGGAAGACGATGTCAACGAGATTGGTGAAGAAGAGAAAGGGAGATTACATGATGTGGATTACTTGACAGGGAATCCTCTTCCCAATGACATCCTCTTATATGCTGTGCCCATCTGCGGTCCCTATAGTGCAGTTCAATCATACAAGTACCACGTAAAGATAGTTCCCGGAACAGCGAAGAAAGGAAAAGGTTTTAAAATTCTCTACTTCACAGTGTCGAAATTAAATCGTCGTCGTTTAGAATCCTGTTTTTAACTGTTGTTATTCTGGTGCACGGCTGCAAAGACTGCCATGAATCTGTTCAGTCACGTGGGGGAAGCAAGTAGCAGAGAGAAGGAATTGATGAAAGCATGCACGGATCCCGAGCTTGTGGCGGCTATCGTCGGCAATGTGAAGATCACGGCAGCCGGTCTTACTCATTTGAAGCAGAAGCAAAAGAAAAGCAAGAAGAGCAGCAACAAGTGAGAAAGCTAAACAATGCCGGTGTTGTAGTAGTAGAGAAGAAGAGAGGACTAATGAAATGCAGCGTTTTATTCTGATTTTTTTTTTACAATTAAAATGTTTTATATGTTGGATGTATTTATAAGAAAATATAATTATTAGTATAGAAATTATAATTTTCCCCAATATTTAATTGGCACAGTACAACTTAGATTCATTAGAAAATAAGAGAGATTATATTTAAGGATAAATGATAGCCACCGGTCATTCAATTATTAATGTTTTCTTACTGTAGTACTGAATTGTTTTTTTAATAAATTTGATTATTAACGTTATATTTTAAAATTATAATTATCAATCATTAAATGGTGATGTAGTTTGATGTAACAACAGCTGTAGTTTTAAATTCTATAAATTCTACTAATTTGATTCTTATTTTTAAAGTAATTTAATTTTGGGTTAATTATGTGGATGATTATTTATGTTTGTGTTGTGTATATTTTTTGTCATTAATTTTAAAAAAAAATATTGTTACTTTTATTTTTATTTAATTAACATGTTACCACCTCGAGTTAACTGCCATTAACAACAGTAAAATATTTTGATACAATCATACATTTGATCCTTGTTGTTTACATATTCTCTCAATTTAGTCTTACTTTTAATAAATTAAAATAAATTTAATCCTTAAATCTAATAATGTCACATGTTACCATTATGTTGGAGAACTAACTTTATTTTAATTTAACATATTTATTTTTACCAATCAAAGAATGACATGTGTCACCATCCGGTTGAAAGAAAAAACAAAGGAAAACAAATTAGGGTAAAAAAGATTCAAACCTTGATCACTTAGGAAGCTAAACATGTATCCAACCATTAAGACCATTGCTTGATTTAAAGTAGATAACATGGTGTATATATTTTGTATCTTAGTATATAAATACTAAAATTCATAATATTTTATATATATGAACTTAAAATATATTTTTTATACTAGTTATTAAATATATTTTATTATTAACTTAATTTAAAAATATTTTATTTTTATTTTCATTTAAAAGTATATATTTTATGTTAAAATTTATTTAAAAATATGACTAAATTAAGAGAATATGTAAATAACATAGACTAAATGTGTGATTATACCAACTATCACGTCACATATTCTGTTAATTGTTAACAACAGTTAACCCGTGATGACCATATCTTAATTAAATAAAAACGAAAGTGATTATATCTTATTTTTTTGAAATCAATGACCAAAAGTGGACAAAACACTAACATAAGTGATTATCGAGTAATAACCCTTTAATTTTTTTATAATTTAACCCACCCATCTCTCTTTTAAAAATAACTATATTTTCTTAAAAATTAAATCCCTATCATATATATGTTTTCATTGAGGAAATCATCTGATCATGATTTTTATTTTTCATATTATTGAATGAAATCACCCCCTCTTTCCTTCTCTTTCTCACACTCGTAACTCTAAAATATTATTATTATTATTATTATTATTATTATTATTATTATTATTATTATTATTATTATTATCAGATCACAGGCTGTAACGAACTCCCAAAATCAAACACAATAATAATAACATTGAATGGTCGAATGCTCAAAGCTATGTTGTACAGCTGAATTGTATCATTTGGTTGCAAGAAAGCATTTTGATTCACTTTGACAAAGCAAATCCAAATAAATCAAGAATCTTCATCTGCTGCAGCAACATCACTTAGGTCTAAACCTTCTGCTGGCAGGTCTGAGGTAAGGGGACCTAATATCCCATCCGAGCTCAGAGTTAACCCACTCTGCAGCATTCCATCACCGAGTTAACACAAGTATACTAATCGAACACCGTTGTTTCTACAATCACCGTCTAACTAAAATCGTACCTCGGGTTGGAATCTCAGCATGTCTGCTCGAGCCATAGCCTCTGCTTGGGCGATTCTCTGCCTGAACGTCTGAGCCATCTCTTCAGCCTGTAGGAAAAAAAGGAATGACCAAATTTGCATTTGTTATGTCCGATCACTCCAATCAACAAAGAAGAGGTTCGGGATCTACCTTCTCGAAAACAAGAGTTGGATTGCGAATCATGTCTCCCAGGGTAAGCTCGAGTTTCTTCGTTGAAAGACTTACTCGTCCCCTTTCGCAGTCATGGCTCAGTATCATGACCTATTCCCTTTTTTACACGGGTTTTAGAATATAGTTCTAAGAAAGCAGGATTTTCTTGCCAAGAATTTAGTGTTTTGTAACGATTCACCTTTAGAGCGTCACCGGGTTGAAGAACGGTAGCAATAACCGAAACACGATCATGACTGATTTGACTGACATGAAGAAGGCCGTTAATTCCGCCGATGTCGATGAATGCACCGTATGGTTTCAGGCTCTGAACAGGTACAAGCACAATCGATCCGATTCCGAGCTGCGCTTGGCTGTCAGCCATGGCCTGAAGACAAGTCTAGACTGTTCCTCGTCGACCTCGACAAACTTCAAAGGGAGCTCCTTATCTTAAAGCTCCTTTCTGGGTTTTCTTTGGTTTCACCGAAAAGCGAGATGAGGAGAGTGGGGAACATCTTAGACCTGTGAATTGTTAAGCCAAAGACGCCATTTTTATCAAAATATCACCTTCAAACCATTAATTACCTGTCAGACATCTTCTCTTCTAATATTAGCGATCTAATATCATTTTTTATAAAGTGATAATATGATGTAAAAGATGTATTTTTTAATTTTTTTTATCTTTATATCTAATGACATCATAATAAACCATACATATGAGTGTCTTAACATAGAAGCATAAATAGTTGGCTCCTGCTACTTGTTTTTTTAATCCTTTGGCAGATAATTCATAATTCCAAATGAATCAACCATCACTCTGGGTGGTAGTTTTGGCATTTGTATCGACAATGACAGTGGCGTTATTGTTGTTGGTGTTTGGATTGGTAGAGGAATCGATTACACACCCAAACAGGGGAGGCGATGTTTACACTGCTCTCCAAGTATGGAAACCTATAATCACTGATTACCCATTGGGAATTTTGAGGATTTGGATTGTGTTTGGTGTGTGTGCTCATAAAGGGATATTTCGTGTAAAAAAATTGATTCTGAAACATTTGTTGGCCATAGATTTCAACCATTCAAGGTCTAGAAGGAGAGGAAGGAAAGCCAAATCTAAAAATAATAATCTCTCCGTGTAAAATTATCTAAAATTTATAGAGAAGTTTATGAAAATTTATATAGAAGACGACACCGTTTCAGTCCTTTTAAGACGAAAGCAAATCTAACTAAAAAAATCTTCCAACTTTCCTACTCCTTTGTACTCTCTCAGAGTTTCTCGCAAGGGTTTCCAATTTTCTCGTTTTGATTCCACCCGAACAGCGCCTTCAGCTGAACCTTTCAGAAGTTTGGATTCTCTCTCTTCCAAAGAAAACCCTAAATCTGGTTTCAACAATGGCTACGACTTCGAATGTCCATGACGACTCAGGTTTCTTATTTTTAAAAAGAACAAAGCTAACTCTTTGATCACTCTAGGAAAAGAAATTTTCTCCAGTAGTAATAGTTTCTATATATTAGAGAATTTTAATGTATGGGTCTCTGTCATTTTCTGTTTTCCTGAAACGTGATATATATATATATATATATATATAATGTTTCAGGTAGTGCAAATGGAAAAGAGGTAACAATGAACAAGTCTGGGAAAGAAGATGCTATGACTTTGAATTCAGAGCTCCAATGTGAAAATACTGGTGAATTATTGTTATGTTTCAGCTTAATATCCCCCCCCCCCCAATTGATCCTGATTTTGGTTTTGTTAGAGTGGGAATTATGTTTATCATATGGATTGTTGTTTTTTGGGTTATGATAGAGGAGAAATCACGGGTGGAAGCGATGTGGGAGCAAATGAATAAGGGAATACCTAAGAATGCTCTGAGACAATTTTCGGCCAATAGAACTTCTGCCACAAATAAAGCTTCACAAAAACCTTCAAACGTTAGCAGTTTCGTATGCTACTCGGTTTTAGTTCAACTACATGTTAGATTGTGTTGTGTAGTAACTGTTTGCTTTGATTTTGAATCATAGAATTGGATGAACTATCTGCAAATGAAACCGGCATCGCCTGCGGGGTATCAAGAAAGAAATACAGAGGCGAAGGCTTCGAGTGAGACCAAAGAAACTGATGCCAAAAATAAGGACAAAGCACTGAAGGAAACTACTGCAGTCCAGAACAACGTTGGTGATGAGGCAAAGAAGATTGCAGCCGCTGCCCTCTCAGCAGTGAAAGACGCAGCTGCCGCTGCAGCAGCTGCCTCAAATAGAGGGAAAATTGAGGTAAGCACTAAGCACATCCTTAACCCTGTTAGGAAAAAAATTAGGTGGCAACTAGAAAATGCCGTAGTCATGGAGTTTAATGGTTTATTAGAGCATGCGAGTATGTTTATGGACCTCTTTCTGCCATAGGTTTATAATTTTCTTTAGCAAAAGGCTTCATATATGTTTCAATATTTGAGCAATCCAAATGTTTGTTGATGAGCAGACCTGAGCAATGATCTTAATTCGATCTTCCCTTTTGTAGATAACCGAGGTTCGAGACTTTGCTGGTCAAGATATTGAAATAAAAAAGCGAATCAATGCCGATTCAAAAGAGGCGGCTGAAAAGTCAAAAGCTACACCTTCTGCAGTTGATGCCATTCTTGAACAAATCAAGAAGAAGCAAAAGCTCAGTGTGCTTGACAAGACGAAAAAGGATTGGGGAGAATTCAAGGAAGAAAATAAGGGGATGGAGGAGGAATTGGATGCATATAAGAAGAGTTCAAACCAGTATTTGGATAAGGTTTCTTTCTTGCAGCGGACTGATTATCGGGAATTTGAGAGGGAGAGAGATGCAAGGCTTGCTCTACAGGCTAGGAGGAGACCGGAAATGCGGGAGGACCCTTGAATGCGTACATCCTTAAGTTGCTTTTTCTTGGACCATCATGCTGAAAACTACTGTTGGAAAGACTCAGAGTTGTTGAGAACTGAACAGGGACTTTTTATTCCCATGATTTATTGAAACCCTATAGCAAAGACTTTTCTGAGTGAATATTTTCTTAGTAAATGTTTTCTTCTTCTCTCTTCTTTCCCTCAATCGAATCATATTTGTTATTGCAATTTGCACAGCTGTTTGCTTTAAGTGTAAGCATCACCTGTACCTTTGGTTTCTGTTAAGAAAGAATATCTCCTGTACTCCGGTGAAAAACGGCAGCACAATGGTTCTTTTTATTCGATTACAGTAAAACTCTAACCGAATAACTTGATAAACATGCACATTCAGTTTCATAGTGAACCATATATTGTTTGGCAAACAAATATTCACTCAAGCTGGGAAAACTGCAATATATGTTTGAGAGTAAATCATTTGAACATGGAATCTGCTTGAAGGTACTAAGTTATTAATTGCAGATCAAAGATCAAACAAATGACAGAACATGCTGTGTTATTGTCACTGAGAAAACGTAAAGCGTGAATGGAAAATGTCTAGTCAAGCATGACATATGCTTAAAGTGACAAACAAGAAGATGAGCGAGCAGTTTGTGCTGACTGCTGCCGTCAATCTTGAAAATTATCAAACATGAATCAAAATGAAGAATAACATGTAAAATCCATATTTCTAGATGTGGATTGGCTTGTCATAGGTGGCCATTGCAGCTTCCTTCAATGCCTCGCTCATTGTAGGATGTGCATGGCACACTCGTGCGATGTCTTCACTTGATGCGTCATAATTAATGGCAAGGACGGCTTCATGGATGAGCTCTCCGGCATTTGGTGCCATGATATGGACTCCAAGAATTTTGTCCGTCTCCTTGTCAGCCAGTATCTTGACTATTCCTTCAGCATTATCGATAGCCTTGGCTCGGCTATTTGCCATGAAAGGGAATTTCCCGACACGGTAGTTGAGACCGAGTTCCTTAGCCTGCTCCTCGGTCTTTCCTACATATGCAACCTCAGGATGAGTGTAGACAACTCCAGGGACCTTATCATAATCAACATGACCGTGTTTACCAGCTATAAACTCCACACAAGCAACGCCATCTTCTTCTGCTTTGTGAGCTAACATAGGCCCTGGAATTACATCTCCGATGGCATAAACACCGGCCACATTTGTAGCAAATCTATCATTGACTAAGATCCTGCCTGCCTTATCCGTTTCCACTCCTATCTTGTCCAAGCCAAGTCCAGATGTGAACGGACTTCTACCAGCAGAGACGAGAACAACATCGGCTTCAAGTGTGGTCTGATCACCTCCAGCAGCGGGTTCAACAGTCAATTTCACACCATTTCCAGTAGTATCCACACTTACAACCTTAGTTTTGAGCATGAATTTCATCTTCTGCTTCTCAAGTGAACGTTGGAATTGTTTGCGAATTTCTGCATCCATTGTTGGAACAATATCTGGGGCAAACTCAACAACAGTAACCTCTGACTCCAATCGGCCCCAAACTGAACCCATCTCAAGCCCGATGTAGCCTGCCCCAATGACAATCAGTTTCTTAGGGATTTCAGACAAAGCTAGAGCTCCGGTCGACGACACAATCCTCTTCTCATCAATGGTGATACCAGGTAAAGATTTGACATCAGAACCAGTGGCAATTATGATGTTCTTGCCTTTTACAACAGTATTCCCACCTTCAAGAGTGTCTACAGAAACTTCAGAGGGAGAAATGAACTTGCCATAGCCTTTGACATAGTTTACCTTGTTCTTCTTGAATAGACCTTCGATACCACGGGTAAGATTCGAAACAGCTTTGTCCTTTTGGGCCATCATGGCAGGCAAATCAACCTCAACCGAGGAGAGTTTCACACCGTGGTGGGCGAATGAATGCTTAGCTTCATGGTACATGTGGGATGAATGAAGAAGCGCCTAGATACAAGTAAATGCAACATTAGAAAAACAAGAAATCTTACTGCAACTAAGGAAGTTCATGGAAACAAATGTCGTAAAGTCTGCAACCACAATGCCGCAACCGCAATTTAGTACTAATATGAATCAAGTAGGAGTTTTCAGCACTGACTCTATTAAAGAGAACGGTAAAGATGAGAGCTTTTCTCTTCAATTTGATAAAACAAATATGCTCAAAAGGGCAAAAGGACACAATTGGCAAATCCCAGTCTCAATTTCACAGATAGAAAATCATATAGTAATAGTTTCTTAAGGTATTCACAATTGAGAGTGAGGCTACCATTTGAATACCAGGATCAGCTATACAATTCATGACCAATCACAATCTTAAAAGGACAAAAACAAAAGAACCCAAACAAATAAATCCAAATTTCATTAGAGATTTATAATCAAAATCGATTAAACAAATTATATATTCTAAAAAAGAAAAAAGAAAAAAATCCCAAAATGGAACCGAAGAGCATACCTTAGAAGGGATGCAACCGACGTTAAGGCAAGTCCCACCGAGGGTGCCGCGCTTTTCGATACAGGTAGTCTTGAGACCTAGTTGTGCAGCCTTGATAGCCGCCACGTAGCCGCCGGGTCCGCCGCCAACGACGACGACGTCGTTCTCTTCAGATCCTGAAGCGAAACCCCTCGAGAAATTGCTGAGTGAAAAAGAGTACTTCAACGCATCTGCAGGCGAATTCGATAGGTTTCTCGACAAAAGGTACGCCTTTCTCCTGGCCAAGCTTGCCAAAGCCATTTTCTTTAACTCTTTTTTTCCCTGAGAAAATTGTAACTATTCTTCCATGAACAAACAAAGAAAACCTTGGTCTGATTTTGATCAAAGCGGCTTGCTTTTTAGACGTTCAGAATGCAGCTTCGAGGGCAATATTCTATCAAAATGGCACATCTATGCTCCTCCAAATAAGTCTCATTGGTGATTGATCCCCTGTGCCGGCTGTGCATGAGGTTGATATTATAATATTCGATTCTTTTAACATATTACGTTTTATATTCGATATATATAATTAAAACCCGAATTCTCTCATTTTATAACATAAAGGGATATCCAATCAAATTGCGGTAGTAGTTAAAAATGATTGATTATTATTCTTAGAAATCTCAATTATTTGTTTTAGTAGTTAAAATGATGATTGTTATTTTTAAAGGTTTTAAGTTTGAATATGTCATTTGTAAGAGTGTTTGAACATTAATTATCATAAGATTTAAAAATTTAAACATATATTATCGTGTAATCACCCGTACCAATATATATATATCATCAAAGGGTGGAAGCCAAGCTTAAGAACTTCGATGATGGGATGTGTTTCTTTGATTGCAGCATGGGATTATTTTTGTCCTATCTCTAATGGTTTCTTTATTTCTGCATTTAACAAATAAATGGTGGCCTCATAGTCACACCCTCAACTGTGTGCATGATAGGATTTCAAGTTCGTTTCCTGCTAAGGATATGAAGACCCTCATCTTGGCACAAACTTCCAAACCCATCATGATGCAGACAAAAAACCCAACGATAACATTATTCAATCCTAACCCAATTTCAACCATGAATCTCAAGCTCTGTTACTACCACTTATGTCAGACACATTCAAACACAAATATAAAAAAAGATACAACTTATTAAATATCCTCCAAGTACTTGAAAAATTGCAAAATATCAAGATATAACTTTCTAAATATCCTCCAAGCATATGAAAAAATGGAATAGAACATGTCATGGTTAGGTCAAGCTTAGTCATAATAAGAAGAAATACCCCATGAAAGAACACCTATGCAAACTGGCAAACATAGAACATGTTATGATTAGGTCAAGGTTGAGTAATAAGAAGAAATACCCATGAAAGAACACATTCTAGCAAAGAATGTCATCGAATTTATGACACCATTTCTGCAGTGAGAAACCCCATTACAATCAATTCAAAAAATCCTGCAATGTAGTTTTACACCACCAGACATTATAAAAGAAAAAAACACAATCCGATATTTAGCACTCTCCCACACCTACAAAACCGCAGGCTGCTTTTTGTTTTTGTTTTCCTTTCTAAACTCTCTGAAACAGCCCAAAACAGATTGCAAAAGTTCTCTAGGAGTAACAAACGGTAAATAGATGAGAAAATTAATTTGTATGCACATTCAAATTCAATTGCCTTCTAGCAAGCTCTTCAGCCTATTCCTGGCCTCCTCTGATAGATTGCAGCTCCTAAACCTCCGCCGTTGGGGAGGGCATGACTCGACACAAGCAGGGGTAAAAAAGCAGATAATGATTGCAGTGAGATTATCTGATGAATTCAAGCGCGTTGCTTCATTGACTAATTCTCTGGCACACTCTTTGGGGTCATCATGTCGTCTTAGAGCTCGGCGAACCAGGCTGACGGCAAACTGGCTTGACATGACATCCCAAATGCCATCACAACCAATGATCAAAAATTCATCATCCTCTGATAATACAATCTGTCTAACATCTGGCTCTGCAATCAGAGGCGATGCCGATCCAAGAGGGAATTTCATGTCCCAATCTCCAAGAGCTCGAGTGACTGAAAGATAACCATTAAGATACCCATCATCAATGTAGCCACCCAATTCCTCAACTCGCTTGCGCTCTGGCAAGTAAGATGGTCTATGGTCTTGGGACATTTCAACAGCGGCACCTTTTCGGCAAAGAACAGCTCGACAATCACCAGCATTTGCAACTAGCAAATGCCTTCCAAGTACAAGAGCAGTCAGCACTGTTGTTCCACAAGAACTGCTAACACTGCTTTCAGCAGCCATGGCAAGGTCCGCAAGCAAAAATGCCTTCCTATGAGAATCCTCCAACGCTTTCAAGAAAACAGCATCGATATCAGCTACCTGTGGAAAATCAAAATCTTTGAAAAATAACCTTGTAGCATTGCTCTTGATATAAGCAGCTGCATCAGCACCACCATGACCATCAAAAACAGCATAAAAAGCACTTGGCATCAAAGGGTTAAAGATAGAACCCAGATGAGAAGATAGGTCGTCAATCCTTATGTGTTCGTCCTCCATAGATCTCCTAGGACCAATATCCACACAGCTGCCAGATCGAATTCTTGGCACAAATTTGACAACAGATGTCTCGATAACAGCATCACCAATGGTCTCAGCACAAGCTGCAACCTAAACAAAGGATAGGAAAAAAAGGTATAAAAAATAAGTATAAATCATCCAAAAATCAGAAAACCTATGAAAAACCTACGGTTGAACTTTGGATCCATGCCAGTTAGCAAAGCATGAACACGTTTATTTCCCCATAATTCAAAAGAAGCATAATTCGTTCATAAACCACAAAACCCATGAGAAATCTACGCTTGAACTTCGGATCTATGCTAGTTAACAAATCAAGATCTTTTTCCCTCTTTTTCTTGCTAACCCTAATTGAAATCCAGTAATTCTATATTTCCCGCAAAAAAAGGTAGAATTTAAATACAATTATGGATAAAATTCACAACAAATCATTCAAAAAAAACCCAAATCTCGAGGGGGAAATCTCTTTTTCGATCAACCAATAAATAAGATCCAAACCCTAACACCGTTCAATCAAAAGAATTGACCATAACAAAATTCGACCCAATAATTCCACAATCAAAACGAAAGACAAAAAAGGAAACAAAGAAGAAAAGGGGTTTGAAACAAAAACTCACCGAATCGAAGCGGGAAACCTGGGTAGAGATGGACATTACATCAACAGCTTGGTGGCGAAAAATTATATCGGCTTCGGCTCCCATATTAGAACTAACAATCATCTCTAAGAACAACCACGAATCGGACAAATACCGTCCCCTTGATAAACAAAACTCTTTTTATTTTATTTTTTCAAGAATATCAAATGAACACTTTCTAGGGTTTAGCCAAGATGGAAAGTTGCGTGCTCGCTATTCTTCTTTTATTTGTAGATATTATATGGTAAGGCCATATGGAAAACGGGATTAGTCGGTCATTGTGACCGGCACGTGTAGGTGGAGGGTTTTTAGATGGAATGGGGACTCCATGGATATTTTAAACCTGCCGTGAATGATTAAATGACGAGTTTACCCTTATTACTGTTAAACTTTGCGCCTGATTAGGGGCATTGAGGAGTTGACTGTTTTGCTTTCACGTTCTGTTGGACAATAATGATTATAATGACTACAGTTATTTATTTACTTTTTCATAAAATAATTCATATATTAATTTTTTAATAGAACAATAAATAAAATCTAAAATAATATGTTTAGATATTTCGTCTAGATATTTATTTATTTTATTACAAAAGAAAGTAGTTCGTAGACTATATGATCCTGGAGGATAAAGTCTTACAATCCGCCCGAAAGAGATCTTGCACCACATTAGGAGGAGAGTCAAACAAATGGAACTCGAACGGTAGTGATCAAGCAGTTTTCGCCAATCTGTTCGCCATCATGTTACACCCTCGAGGACTGAACACCATAACAATACTCCAAGGGCGAGCTAAAGCTTCTTTTATGCACATCACGAAAGGGGAGAAAGAAACCTCGCTCTGATCCGGATTAATCACCGATAATGCTTGTTTGTTGTATGTTTCCACCATCAACTCTTGAACTCCCGAATCTCAAGCGAGCTTCAAGCCCTCAAAGATTCCCCTTTACTCCGCCTCCAAGGTTGAACATATACCAATGGATTTTGAGAACCTTGCAACCCAATTTCCCATAGAATAGGGCAAAATTTCACCAAATGTACTAAGTCTCGAATCCGTCCACCTGGAGTCATCCGTATTTAATTTCAACTATCCCTACTTAGGGGGTTGCCATTGTGAGGAGCTAATAACCATCCTTTTCGTCGAATGCTGCTGAACATGTGCTCTTAATAATTCCTGAAGCATATGTAAAATCCTCTACAAAACACTTTCAAACTCCACAAACCCCGCATCAAAGATTCTTTTATTCCTTCGACACCAAAGGTTCTATAAGACCACACCAAACAGGAGATTCCAATCCTCGAATGCAACCGGAAAGCGACAGTGATTAGCAAGATTACCTTCAATTCACACCATTAAATCTAGCTGAAAGAAGGACACTTCTCTTGGCTATAGTAGTGCCTCGATACTGCATTTCAATAAATGACAACTGTAGCATACAAGTGAATGAAAGTAGTCACGGGATGACTCTACCTATTTGCTTTGCGTAGCAGTGCCTGGATACCGTATTTCAATAAATGGTAGCTATAGCAATTGTGAAAGGTAGTTGTGATAGACCGACTCCCATCATAGCCGTGCTTAAAAAATATTATGTTAATGATAATGGGAGTAAATGTGTGATTAAATGGTTAAAGAAATTCTAAAGCAGAATAGAGAGCTTATCTAAAAAATTTCTAACTTTGTTAAGCATAGACTGGATACAATCACACGCACATAATGCAAAGGGTCTTGCTCTAGGGAAAAGTTCTTGAAATCATGATTTGTCTAGCATGTTGAAGCCAAATATTTTTTAGGGCTGAAATTTTATCTCAACATTACTGCATTGACTAAACTTTTGCCATAACATTATTTTCTGGTAATTATCATCAATTGCTTGAGGACAAACAATAATTATGTTTGGGGGTGTGATAACCCCATAAAAAGGCTACATTCTGTGCCTTTTTACTTAAGTTATTGTTTGTTTTAAAGCCCATGTAATAAAATTTAGATTGTATTTAGGTCATGTAGTTGCATTTGGTGGTAAAATCTTGTTACATCACAAATTTATTGAAAATCGGTGCTGCTAAGGGAAATGTTTTACTTTTGTGGTGTTGTGAAGGCGATGAAAGCTTAAGGAGAAGATGTGGCTGCTGTAGTATGTTGAAGAAATTGTTGTTGTAGCATTCTAAAGATGGAACGTTGAAAGACTTGCCACAGCGAAAGATGGATAGCAGATCTGGAGGAGAAAAGACAAAATAGGGTGTCACGATGGTACGGAGGGGAGGTAGTACCGGAGTATTATTCGACAATGTCAGGAAGGAAAGCAAATGAACTTGCTTTAACATGCACATTGGCACTTTTCGTTCTTCCTGCAGAAATGGTTACGAGCAGAATGTAACTCGATTGCTGAACATGAACTGTGCCCTTTTTGCCATCCAATCTTTCTCTTCCATCAAATTTTAGGAATAAAAATCTCACATTTGTTTAAGATCAACACCAGGGTTTCAAATTGTGATCACGGTCGCGTTTTCGATTATTTCGAATTTACCGTGATTGCTACCGTCGCGGACGTTATTACGGCTGTCGCGACGAAACCGCTATTTCGCATACCGTTTTTTAAAATCCTGATCAAGACCATTCAAGCCAAGAACTACAATCAATACACCACCATACCATTTCTTCATTTTGATTAACCCAAAAGCTAAACTTAATGATTTCATCACTGGAAAAAGTGCTAAACCCTAATACCCCATTCCTGAATTCTTGTCTTCATCACTGTGAAAAGAAATTATAAAAAAAAATCTTTTAGCTGGAAATTACAAGGAAATTAACTGATCCACGGAGTTAGATTTACAAGTATGCTGTAAGAACAAGTTATCAAAAACAGCAATTCATAATGTTGGTCGTTTAAAAAAAAATTAATAAATGTTGAAAAAATAGCACCGATGCACCATTAATGCTGCTGCATATGAGATCTAAGAACATTAAGCTTACCTGAAACATGAGATCTAAGAGACATGAAGAGAACTCAACACTAAGAGAGCCGAATCTTAGAAGCTTCAACGGTTAAAATGGATGGAAGGGAAGAATTCGTTTTATTGCAAAGATTTCTTTTGTGTTCTGAACTTCTGGTTCCCTGTCTGAAAGAGACAAACCATCGGCCGAGATTCTACTATTGGAACGCAGCGTTTTGATTACCTTATTAGATTATAGGGTAAACTACGTATTTAGTACTTAAACTATTAGTTATGGTCTGTTTTAATACTTAAACTTTCAATTTTTTAAAAACAATACCTAATGTTTAATTTTCATTTTATTTTAGTACTCCACCGTTAAAAACTTAACGCTTTTAGTACATAAACTATCAGTTTTGGTCCGTTTTAGTACTTAAAATTTTATTTTTTTCAAAACTTAATGTTAAATTTTGAATAGAGGTACTAAAATGAAACAAAAACTAAATTTTTAAACAGTGGAATACTAAAATGAAACAAAAAATTAAACTTTAGATATGATTTTGAAAAAAAAAAGTTTAAGTACTAAAACGAACCAAAACTCATAATTTAGGTACTAAATGTATAATATACCCTAAATTATAAAGTTGGAAGCTTTGATGTATAATCAGTTAATCACAACCATTTCATGCTTGGCAATTGACATTAGTTTGACTTCACCAATTGATATGAGTGGTTAAGTGAAATACTAAATTTTTTAAGATCCTATATTCAAATAGATACTATAAGGGTGCGTTTGGTTCACGGAATGTAAGATTATCAGTGGGAATAAAAGATTACCAGGGAATAGGATTACTGGGAATGTTGTATTTTGTGTTTGGTTGGTTTAGCAGGAATGTAAGATTACCGTGTTTGGTTAAAGGAATAAAAGATTATTGAAATGTATATTTGACCAAATTATCCTTATTATATATTTGTATAATATTACAAATTGTAAAATATTTATATATTTTCTTTAAAAAATTAAATTCATAATATTTATATAATTGTTTTAACAAAATTTAAAATATAAAAAAGGTTTAATGAAAGGGTAAATTTTTTTAACCCCTGAACTTCATATAAAATTTTAATTATAGATTTTTTTTTGTAAATCTAAAATAATTTAAGGATAAATTTGTAATTTAACCTTCGTAGAATTTTTATTATTCAATAACAGAAGAAAGATATTTTTGAAAAAAAATAAAAATTTAAGGGCGTTTTAATCCAAAATGCCAGTAATGTTACAATACCTAAGGGAAGGGAGGTAATGACATTCTCGGTAATATACCCTAAAAGTTTACTATTGGTAATAAAAACATTACCAGAAATGAGATTCCCGGCCAACCAAACATGGGAATGTGGGATTCCCATCCCATGAGAATCTCACCCCATAAGAATCCCACAATCCTTGAACCAAACACCCCCTAAGGGTATAAGTATATTTTTAGCGTGTTAAGAAAGTTTTAAACATATATTACTTTTTAATCACCTCACACTAGTTTTCATGTTATAAAGCTCAACATAATTGAAGCCCTTGTAGTTCTGTTCTCATCTTTCTTATTATGCTGGCTGCAGTAAAGGGTCCTTGGCACATTCTGGATTCCATATAGCTATAAGTAGACCTTGGATTAGTATTTTTTTTTATAGATTTTCTTTGCTTGGCTAAGCTGACTCCGACTTAATAGTTTATACTTCAAGGAGAAGAAAGCAAGGACGGAGTGAATATGTTCGGATTGCGATTGATGAAACTGGGGAAGTGCTTTGAAATGATTATGAAAATTTAGTTAGAAGAATTATATTGTGCGATAACCGCTCTTACATTCCCTTTTGATTGCTCAGTCTATGATTAGCACTTACAGATATTTTCAGGGGTTTATATATGTTAAAGGGGTCATCCATGGGACCCTGGCTTTTGGTTGACTTGAGTAAACATTACAAGGTTTGCAGATATGTACTGCAGATCTGCTTGTAAATGGTGGTGTTTTTATTTTTAAAAAGCGAATGTATGGAGATCTATGATATAGTAGAACACTTTTGATCATTGGTGCAAAAGATTTTGGATCAAGAACTTGTGCCTTATTCGCTGAGGGTACCCGTAGTGTTGTTTACATGCATACTTAATAGGCTACAACTAGAATATCATGAAACTAAGCCCTTTACTTTCTTTGATTTTGTCTCTAAATATGTTGTGAACATATGGACATTAACTTGAGCCAATATTTAATTTACTGTACAGCAACATAATACTGCTGTGGTTGTTGATATGGTGAGATAGCAATTCAAAAAGCATATGCACGAGACAGATCCGGAGAAGATTCAGAAGCTGAAGGACGAGTAAGCCTTCATTTTTCTCGTTTCTTGCATTTTCAAACCATTTATTCGTGGTAGCTGCTTGGACTGTTGTAGAAGAATGTAGTTATATACTGGTGGTATATTACAACAGAATAATCTTTTTATCACTTAAGCTAGAACTTTAAAGATATGCAACTAATGAGATATGCTTGCATGGAATGTATTTGCTTCGTATTGAATTTCGAGTCTTTCACAAACCTTTAGCATTGTTTTAAGTTGTGTTGTTTGCTTCTGCAGTGCTGCAAGGGGGCTGATTAACCACGTACTCTACGAGTCTGAGAAGCTATCCGGAAGAAAGTTCAGCAACAGCTCTTGATAGTGAGTTTTTATTTGATATATTGGTGTTAGACAGTTTTCATGACTGCTCAACCAAGTAACAAAGAGAAGCTTGAATTTTGGGTTTCCTATCGATATTCATGGTGTGATGTGATGCATCACGTTCTAATGAAACTTGACTGAGTTGTATACTTAATGTACGTTGTATGATGCATTATACTGAAGTTGTTCCAAGTGACATTGCATAATCTTGTAAGTGTGCCGGTGTTCCTTTTCATTGGGAATTAGTTAAGAGACGGACGCATAATTTTATGCTAAGGAGCGAAGTTATAAAATTTTTCGGGAAGACGAACTTATAAAGTTCTATGATATTAAAATCAGTTATCAATATAATATAAAGAAAAAATTTAAAATATATGATAATTTAAAATTTTCAAACGACGACAACTACTGTTCATTCTTGAAGTAAGTCAGCATGGGCTAGGATGGTCTTGTAGACACTAATTTTCGTCGACATATTTTTTCCCCCTTTATATGTACCTACATATTTATATATATACATATTTTGAAACTACGTATATAATATATAGTTTTTAATAGTTTTTAAAATTATATAATATATAGTTTTAAAAAAAACATTTTAGAAAATATATATAATATATAATTTTTAAAATCATTTGAAAAACTTATATATATATATAGTTTTTGAAAACATTTTTGAAAACATATATATTATAGTTTTGAAAACATTTTGAAAACATTTATATTATATAGTTTTTAAAACGTTTTGGGAAAATTTATATAATCTTTTTTGAAAACATGTTGGAAAACATTCGTATATTATATAGTTTTAAAAAAAAAAAAAACATTTTGAAAATTTATATATTGTATGTTTTTGAAAATATTTATGTATATATATATTATTATTATTATTTATTATTATTATTATTTTTCATTTTTTTTTTTTAACTTATTTTGGTTTTGTTTCAGGTCCAAAACGGGGTCCAAATAAGTCAGAACGGGCCTGAACCAGCCCAGCACAGGTTTGTGGTCTGAGAACCCTAGGCACGCATGTCAACACGCGCCGCACGGGAGTTCAAGGGTCATGAGCGAAACGGCCGGCCGTTATCCCGGGACTGACCCATCCCGGGATGGTCGGTCAACCACGAACCGAGTACTCCACAATATCCGGGGTTCTCAACGGCCGGCGGGGGTTATAAAAACCCACGGCCAAGTCACTGCCAAAGAGAGGAACATCCACTGAAAACCCAAGAATCGGGCACAGCACACCGAGAGAACAAAGAAACCAAGACCAGAAACCATCATCGTGTACCACACAGTCAAAACACATCAACACAACAAAAACATAGAACATCACAACATCAACACAGCATCAACAGTACTAAAGTACACGAAAACAAAGCCGAAATAACATCACTGAAGCCAAACCCCAAACACAAGTAAAGGAATACATAAAAAGGCCAAAGCCAAGAGAAACCGAGAGCGGGCACGGCGAGAACAGAAGCGGAAAGGTCGCCGGAAAGGTAAAAGGTCGAGACTTTTTGTTTAGATCTACTCCGGTAGGTGGGGTTTTTGGGGATTTTAGGCTTGGTTTCGTGTTTACGGGGTTAAGGGGAACATCTTGCTAAGGTTTGGTTTTGTTTCCGGCGGCCGGGGCGGCGGCGGTGCGGCTGAGTGGGCCACCAGACGGTGGCCGGATATCGCCCGAGGAAGGGCTGTTTGAGAGAGATATCTCTCAGTTGAGAGAAGAAATCTGGAAAATGGAGAGAAATGATTCAAAATAGGCCGGTTTTGGTATTTATATACCAAGGACCATCCTGCAAATACAAGATTTTTAAATCCCTTCCGTGGTCCCTGATACTTTGAGTCGCAATTCATTTTGGTCACTACCTGTAAATTTGCCTTCGAATTTCCAATTGAATCAATTTGGTCCATGTTTATATTTTTTATATTTCGTGAATTGGCACCTAACTTTTTCTTTTCTCTTTTGCAGTTCATTTTTAATACCAATCTAGCCCATTAATTTCAATTTGTCTCAATTTGATCCTCTAAGTCGATACTTTATTTTATTCTTTTTTTATGTTTTTTGATTTATCTAACATTTGTCTATTATTATATTTTCTAACATTTTTGACTTTTTTTAGAAGAACTCCAACCAATCAAAGGTAAGTAATGTGAATCGAGTTTTTAAATTTAAATTTAAATTTTAAATTTTCGCAACTAAGACAACCGACAAATTAATTGGTACCGAAAGGGCGGTTCAAGGGTGCTAACCCTTCCTTGACCGTAATCGACTCCCGAACCCGACACGCTTCTGGTACAACGCAGATCAGGTAAGATGGTGTCCGACCCACCTAAATTCATTTTAAAATGGTCGGTGGCGACTCCCAACCCAATCACTCAAGTCGAAGCCCAATTCCGGGGCCCAACCGAAAGACGGTTACGACAGCTTGGCGACTCCGCTGGGGACAGGTAAGTGAGTCAGGCCAGAATTAATTTTCGGTTGTCTTTTTATGCGAAAATTGTAAATTTAAATTTTAATTTATTTATTCAGTTCCGATTATTTACCTTTGATTATTTTTCAAATAAATAGTTGTACTAACATTTTTTTCAATGATTTCAGATTTTTGAAAAGTTTCTATCTCAGGCTCTATACCCGAGCTCCGAACCCTTTTAAGTGGGGGTGAAAGCGACGCATTCGTGTGAATTTATTCACCGCACATGCCTAGCAAGTAGCCTTCGGGATTCATATACCTTATGTCTTCGTGTGAATTTATTCACCGTGCGGGCATAAGGGAATGTGTCCCCTCGAGTTTAACTTAGTCCACACAAGCCTGTGATGGGTTTAGGACTAAGGGTCTGGTAAGCCCAAGGGGGCACCGGCAAGGAGAACTCGAGTACCTTTTAGAACCTAAACCAGGAGAGTACAGGGAATTAGAGCCCACCCCGAAACCTCATTCCAAACCCTAGGCTGTTTTATTTCCTGCTTTATTTTCTGTTCAAAGCATGCGAACTAGACAAACATGCGGCTAGGATTTTTTGAAATTAGCATGCGGGATAGAAATCATGTCTGTGTAGGAATATTAAGCATGTTCGGGTAGATTATCATGTGGGGTAAGACTTTTCATTTTCATCATTTTTATTATTATCATCATTATCTCACTAACTTTTTTTGTTTCTCTTCCTCCTTTCATTTTTATTCTTTGGCATTTTTTTATCATTCGCATCATTAAAACGAGGTATTGATCCACAAAAAATGTGTTTGTTAAACATGAATAATTTGTATTAATGGATAAAGGGGTTATAATACGAAGAGATAAAAAGCTCAGAAGTCCAGCCGTGGTCAAAGAATACTCAGAGGCAAAGGTTGCAGGGGCAAGATGAGGAAAATGTTGCTGGCCCAGAAACTCCTTTTGAAAACTACGATAACAAGTGGCAGAACCCCAGCTAAGCTGCAGACCATTAATTGATGAATTCTAAAAACAAGTCGACAAACTTCGGATGGAATGCTCCAAAGACACTTTCGTTCGGAACAAGCTCGGTAGAAAGTGAAAGTCGGAGATGCAGTCCTTCGAGATTTTTTTTTTTTTTTTTGGGGCAAGCATCTCATTATTTGCACATTTTAGCCAAAGGAGCCGGAATGGTTCGACAGGATATTCAACTAGTGAAAAAGACGAATCAATTTGTCAGAAGCTGTACAGGATTTGTACCATCAAAAAAGGTTTTTTGTCTCTTCAGATGTAACACTTTTGTCACCAATAAGGGTTATTCAGAATAACAGGCACATTTTTTGGATCAATGCCTCGGACATTTCATGCATCATGCATTTAGACATTTTGCATTTCGTTATTTTCTTTGCATTTTGTTATTTTCTTTACATTCACATTAACTAACATATACATATCTCATCAAAAGGAGTAAATACTGGATACACCGTCTCAAGCATTGGACACACCCCATCCACATAACACTCGTTTGAAGAAGAAGAGGATGGAAGCCAGAATTACACAAATCGAGGAGAATATGTTAAAACTACAAAAAGAGCTAGAAGACAAGATAAACCAGAACAGTCGAAATACTCTAGAAACAATCACAAAGAACCAAGAGTCCTTGGTTGATCAGATCGTTGCCAAGTTAATTGGCCTACAACAGACCAGTGTGCCTGGGGCAGGTTCATCGGAAGGGGTAACTATACAACCTATCCCACAAGTGGTTATCTCACCTGAAATCTTACCAGAACTTCGGGGGGACTCATCGACGGCAAAAGCAAAGCCCTCGTCCTCTGTATTTAACCTTAAGAACAATCCGGGTTATTACCATGTACCGGATTTGGACGAAGAGGACAAAGCAAAGAAGATGGAGGAAAAAATCAAACAATTGGAAGACCAAATGAATATAGTCAAAGGAGACCGTGACTACCATGAAATCGATGCAACGGAACTTAGTCTAGTCCCGGACTTGGTTCTTCCCCCGAAATTTAAGTCCCCAGAGTTCGAGAAGTTTGACGGGAACAGTTGCCCATCCGCTCACATCACCATGTTTTGCCGAAAGATGACAGGATATGGAGGAAATGACCAACTCCTGATCCACTGTTTTCAGGATAGTCTGTCGGGCTCAGCCATTCGGTGGTACAACCAGCTCAGCCGATCAAATATCAAGACCTGGAAGGACCTGGCCAAGTCATTTCTGGAACAATACAAGCATATCAACGACATAAGGCCAGATCGAGTTATGCTACAAAGCATGGAAAAGAAGCATAACGAGAGTTTCAGGCAGTACGCACAAAAATGGAGGGACTTGGCTGTGCAAGTTCATCCACCGTTAGATGAAAAGGAAACCCGGAAACTTTTCGTGCAGACTCTGAAGGCTCCATACTTCGGGCATCTGGTGGCGATCACATCAGGAAGCTTTTCAGACTTGGTTATGGCCGGAGAAATGATTGAGTCGGCCATAAAGCAAGGCAGGATTAAGGATGGGGAAGCCAGTAAGAAGCCTCCTATGAGGGAGAGGGATGGAGAGGTTAACAACATCAAACACTTCAGCAAAGGTGTTACAATCTCCAGCCCAAAATCAACTGCAACGGTACCGTCAGGTACTTCTAAACAAGATT